CTTTCTTTTTTCCGGAACCACAAACCCTTCAGGTTGGTCCATGTAAATTTCTTCCTCTAGATCACCATTTAAGAAGGCTATTTTACATCCATTTGATGGATTTGAAGACCATACAAGGCGGCTAACGCTATTAGCATCCGAATGGATGTAATTCTTGTTACCGGCGAGTATGTGTCAAAATAGTCAAGACCTTCTCGCTGTCTAAACCCTTTGACAACAAGTCTTGCTTTGTATTTGTCAATAGTACCATCATCTTTCATTTTCTTCTTGAAAATCCATTTAGAACCCAATGTTTTGTTACCTGGAGGAAGATCAACCAATTCCCAGGTATGGTTGCTCAATATGGATTCTATTTCACTATTGACAGCTTCTTTCCAATATTGTGCTTCTGAGGAAGACATTGCTTCCTTGAAGGTACGAGGCTCATTTTCTAGCAGGAAAGTCAGAAAATTTGGACCAAATGAAGTAGATGTCCGTTGACGTTTACTTCTTCTCGGATTTTCCTCATTAGGCATACCATCCGTTATTTCCTCCCGAGGTCGTTTTGACTTTTGGTAGGTCATTTCACTTTCCTTTTTATACGGATAAATAGTTTCAAAGAATTCAGCATTATCTGATTCTATTATCGTATTAACGTGAATCTCAGGATTTTCTGACTTATGAATCAGAAAATCATATGCCTTGCTATTCGTTATATATCCAATAAATACACAATCAACCGTTTTTGGACCTATCTTAACCCTTTTAGGTTTAGGAACTTGTACCTTAGCTAAACACCCCCACATTTTGAAGTATTTCAAGCTGGGCTTTCTTCCTTTCCATTTTTCATAGGGAATGGACTGTGTTTTACTATGAGGTACACGGTTGATTATTCGGTTAGCTGTAAGTATAGCTTCCCCCACAAGTTCTGTGGTAAACCAGAACTTATCAACAATGCATTCATCATCTCTTTCAACGTTCGATTCTTTCTCTCCGCAATTCCATTAGATTGTGGAGAGTAAGGGGCAGTTGTTTGGTGAATAATGCTATTTTCCAAACATACTTCTTCAAAAGGAGATTTATATTCTCCACCCCTATCACTTCTTATCATTTTGATCTTTTTGCTTAGTTGTGTTTCAACTTCACTCTTGTATTGCTTGAAAGCATCAATTTCCTCATCTTTACTATTAAGTAAATAAACATAGCAGTATCTCGTGTTATCGTCAATAAAAGTAATAAAATACTTTTTCCCACCACGAGATGGTGTTGACTTCATGTCGCAAATATCTGTGTGAATTAAGTCTAAAGGATTTGAATTCCTTTCAACGGACTTATAAGGATGCTTAGCATACTTTGATTCCACACATATTTGACATTTAGAATTAATGCAATCAAATTTTGGCAATACGTCTAAATTTATCATTTTTCGCAATATTTTGAAGTTGACGTGACCTAAGCGTGAATGCCATAAAGTGTTTGACTCAAGTAAGTAAGACGAAGCATTAGCTTTATTGATAGGAACTGCTACTACATTTAGCTTAAAA